TGAAAGTATAAATTTACAGCACATGTACAGTAACTTGTAATAAATGTGTAATTATTGTAGCCTGATGAGTTGAGAACATTTGCAGACAAACCACTCCACACAATATATCTTCTCACACACTCTTGTGAAAAACAGTCCTAAGGCACTCATGAGCAGATTCAAGTCACAATACAAGGTGAGTTTAAATGACCGAAACTAAATGTATTTCAAAATATTGGTGTCATAGAGTCCAACTGCACAATTTTTTATCAATTTAAGAGAGTTGAGCACACTTGATCTGCGATGGCTGCCAGCATATAGCTTGTTGTGATTGAGCTTAACATGTTTCCATAAGCATGCTTACAGTGCACATTTTGCTAAACAGCTTAGATTTAAGGTCTGTGCTGACCTTACATGTACTTGTCATGAGTAAATATTTCTGAGGAGGTGAAAGAGAAAGTTGTGTATTTTCTAAGAGGGTAAGAGAAAAAAAAATGTTTACCTCTAAAAGAAGCATTCTGTTTTCATTTTCAGGAAGGGCGAAGTTTGCCTTACCTCCTCTACGGAGGGGGGGAAGGGAGGGAGGCCAGGGGGTGTATGTGAACTGTAATGGATTATTCACTTCCTCTACTTGTTGCACACATACAATCATGTAAACCTCTATTCATGTGGCAATCCATAAAAGCTGTTGGAATTGTTTTCTTTTCTCGACATCTAATGCTGAACATATTTTCAAAGCAATTAGGGTTACTGTATACGACAAAAGGCAACAATAGGAACATGGACACAGCTACTTTAAATATTTTGTACAATTAAAAAGCCGATCGAGTGTCAGTTTTGTCTCAATGTACAATGTTGTCGAGTCAAGTCTTTTCAAAGTTCTTTTCTCTGTTAGAGGTCCAACTCTCGCAAAATTATGCAAGAGAAAACGAGTTTTCGCACGCGCTCGAGCAAATTTCAAAAGAACAATAAATCAGGAGAAATACATAGCATTCTATTTACGACTTCTCTACCTACCTTTTCAGTCAAAATATCAAACTCTATGGCGTAAAGAACAATTGGCAGTACATCCTCACAACAGGCACGAAATATATTCTGTACGTCGCCTTCATGATTGCTTGGCGAACAAACCAACTCGGCCCCCGCTTTCAACAATGGATGGCTTAATGAGACCTCGGCCACTGCAGTCGCCAATGCTGGATCGTCTCTTTGTAGGTCCGTAAGTTCAAGATCTGCTCTAGGAACACATTCCCACGAGCCTTCATACGCGTCCAGGTTGGCCGCTAGTTCAAAACTATCGGGCAAAACGAGACTTACGTTGGAAATATTCCCGTACTTTATTCGAATCATCCGCCATGATGTGCGGCTATCAAGCTCTCCGACTACGGGAAGGACAGGTTCTCCCAGAAGCTCGTTTATCACGCAGACTTTGGCGAAGCACGTTTGTCCGATTACAATGATCGTTGGCGGTTTCTCACAAACCCTCGCTAAGGACTGATACTCGTTTTCGGGAAGGTACGCAGACAACACGTCTTGGCTGAACTGTCCGGAATCTTGAATTTCTTGAAAGTATCGGTTCGTATCTCGCTTTATCTGCTTCAACAACCTCGAATGCTCTTGAAACTTGCTTATCTCGTAAGGAAGGTTCGCAGCCATGGTAGAAGAAGAAGGCCTGTAAAGAAAAGAGGGTAAACTACATCTTTTCACGTCCCAACGAAGCCTCTAATAGCACAAGTTCCACTTTGACTTCTTGCTCATCAGCGTTCTGTTAAGCAACTTTACTTTGCCATCCAGTCTAGAAAATTCGACCAATGAAATGCTCTGTACCCTTACATGGGCAATGGTTTCCTTTATTTTCCGCCTGCGCGTTCTGGCGATTGCGTGAAGCGTGACATTGTTGACCAAAAACACATGAACAACACATGAACAACACATGAAGAGAAATGAACACATGAAGTACACGAACACACCAGGCGAAACACGCTTAATCTCCACATAAAGATTGAAATAAAAACAAGAGGCCAAGTTTTCCTTAAAAAAAATAAATAAGATTGAGCAATTAGTCTGAATACACTTCCCTTCAAACTTCGTTTATTAAACCAGTGCACTGGAAGGGAAATTTTCGAGGGTAAAAAAAAAAAAACTCCTCCAATATCACGTTTACTACGTGCCGCGAGTTTGACACGTGAAACATAACCGAAATATAAAGCCCATCAAAGGTACATATTTGTAATAATAAGAAGGAGAACAATAATAACAATAATAATAATAATAATAATAATAATAATAATAATAATAATAATAATAATAATAATAACAAAACAAAACAAAAAACAAAAAGAGTTAGTTTAAAGCATAGCAGACCATGAATACCGGGTGACATGCCGAAGCAGAATTCGGGGTACCTCCATGCCTGCCTTCCTTTTCATCGAGAAGGGAAATGGAAAGGGATTTTGAAAACGGAGGTTTCACTCTGAAAACGCATCAAATCGTCCGTCCACACTGCGCCGGAGAAATTTGAAAACGCAACAATCGCCGGTTATTTTGGATTTGTGTTTGAGGAAGACTCGTGCAGGGAAATACAGGATTGTCGTAATGTCATCGTTTTTGAAAAGCTCCGTTTTCAAATTCTTCCGGTTGAAAGAGCGTTTTTGAAAAAGTTCCGTTTTCGGATCGGTTTAGTGTGACCTAACCGCAGAAATAAAAGCTCCGTTTTCCTGAGGACGGGGCCAAGTTAAATAGCCTTCCATAATCCATAAGTACGTAGATAGTTCATTTTCTTCGGCTTTGTTCGGCCATGGAGTATGACGACCTATTTGGCGGCAAACGGAAAAGGGCAAAAATCGCTTCTGATTTTCTTTTCTCAGGGTGCGTTTATTTGGGGTGATCTGGATCAGGATCAGTGATCCAAGAGCACTAGGATCATGATGCATCAAAGGAACCGATGAATCGGTGACCAGATTGGATTAGTCGGTTCCTGTGATGCGCCATGATCCGAGTGATCTTGGATCACTGATCCGGATCCGGATCACCCCAAAGGAACGCACCCTCAGTCTTTCCTTCTCAATCGATCCAGCACAAGAACAGAAAAAACAAAAAACAAAAACAAAAAAACAACAACAAAAAAACAAGCAAACAAACAAACAAGCAAACAAACATACCTTGTTCAGAGCAAGATATGATAATTCTCACTTCAGTAGAAAAAGAGTGCGCCATCGGTGATTTGTTTTGAAACCCTTAATCCTTACTCGATTATTCCCACATTCGCCGTATAGCACCGTTTGAACGTAAACTTTATCACTTTTGGTGCGCTTTTCATAGTTCTTGTTGGGTTATGTCTGCTAAGCTGGGCCAGGAATACACCTATGACTAAATTTGTGAAAGGGGTATTGATGAAATTTCACCCTGGCATGGGCGTGTTTTCCTCCAAAGGAGACGGTAATAGACAATTCAAACGAACGAGTCTTCGCACTCTGCGTGACAGGCGTTAAACCGGNGGGGGGGAAGCAAAGCGTTTTTTTGCTTCCACCCTCTCCACTCCCCGGCCCGTTTACGCCTGCAGGCTAACTCTTCGTATCCTCCACTAGCTATTATCTTTCCTTGCGTGAGCTCTGCTCTATATTTTTCGGTTTTTGTTGTTGTTGTTGTTGTTGCTGCTTTTTGTTTTTGTTTTTGTTTTGGCGTGGTGTTTTAGACCTTTTGGAGCCATGAAGTCACAGTTTGTAGCTCATGTGCTTCAGAGGAACGCTCTATTTTTATTAACACCGTTTTCATATATCCAATCATTTTAGTCACATAAATTCCCAATAAAGTTAGTTTAAAATATACACAGGAAGTTCGGTTTGACCAAGAGAAAATAAGAAAAGAATTCTGGTTTCAGTGGCACCTTGCCAGAATTTTTGCCCCTCATTTTAATGTGTTACATATCGGGGACATGTAAACATTCGTGGATGTCGTAACTTTGAAGTAGTTGCAGGTTTCTACCACTTTTCACTGGAACGTATCGAAACGCGGCGTCACTTCTATTTAAGTTCAATGCAAAGTATTTACACAATATACAATTACGTTATATTTCAATCTAATTCATTCTCGTCCACATCCTCGAGGCTTGGTTTTCTTGTTTCTACAGGTTGTTGAGTTAGTTCTTGAGCGGCTGGTTGTTTCACCAAGCCAGTTACTCCCGGCCGCCTCTTGTAGAACAATACATATGCGTATTTTGACACAATGCGCTCCTCTGAGGTCTCCGTGACATGCCTGTCGTCAAAGTAACGCCATCCTGTGGGTTAAAGATGTAGCAAGTCATTAGCGACGGATGGGAAAAACATGAAATCGAGCAAGTGCTTTCTACTATCCGGGTCCTATTTTTGATGTTGAAAACGGTGTTTAAGATTTGTAACTGTAAGTTTTCTATTCTAAAAGAAGCGACGTTCGATTCAAGTTTGACAATGACGTGATTTTCCTGGACCAGTCACAAGTCTTTACTGCGCATAGCAACCAATGAGTTTGCTTCGATTGTATAGACAACAGATTACGTCAAATTGCTATTTTCGTGTTTGTCAAAGTGGGCAAGGGCCGGGGTTTCGTTGTCATGTTGAAAGATTTTGACATAACCAAGCTTTTTTGTATAGTTTGTTCCCTTATTATATAAAACAAATAGATTCCATGTTGCCGTGCGTCTGTTCAGTAATAGATCACAGAAAACGTCAAAATGTGGTAAGAACATCAGTGACACACTTGGCTACCGCCTCGTGTGCCACTTTTTTACTTCTTACCACATTTTGACGTCACCTGTAATCTATTACTGAACAGACGCAAGGCAAAATGGACTCTATTTGTTAAACAGAAATACGAGTGGAAGTTTGGGAGACCGAGAAATGCTGTGGTAACACGAGCCGACAGGCGAGTGTTTCCACAACTTTTTCGAGTTCTCCCAAACTCAGTTCCACGAGTGTTTCTACTAAGCAATTAGATTATGAGTTCGAGATTTCCATCGCATAGAAATCGAGAGCGAATGTAATTGTTTTAGTATAAATCTACTAGTCGTCCAAAACGTTATCTAAATCCTTTTCACAGACACTTCGAAAATGCCAAGAAGCGGCCGTCATTTTGTTAACAAGCGCACACTGCTACGCCATTCCCTATCTACCACAGAATAAATATTGAGTAGCGAAGCCAACCAGAGAACAGCATTCGTGATAGAACGCTAGTAGATTTGTACTTAAACTCGATAGAAACATGGTGAACATGTTTTCTATTTCTTTCGGAAAACACCGCGACGAAAAAAACAGAAAACAACTTGTTTACTTTAATCATCAAAGTGTAAATTTTCTTTGCTCGCGCCATCATTTCGTCAACAGCTCATGCTAGTTCTGTGTTTCTGTCGAGTTATAGAAACACGATTTTAAACCAATCAGCGCGCGTATTTTCTTTGGTCTATTTTCTGAACATCAATACAAAACAAAGACAAACAACCGCAATGAGTTATAGTCGTTATACATACCAAGGCCATCTTGTTTTAGTTGGTCAATAGTTTGGTCTGCCTCCGCTAGTCTGCCAAATGCGGTATAATGACCGAAGTTGACAGTGCCACTGTGATTAGCCACAGCAAACAAATCATACAAGGATCCCTCTTTGTCATCTTTACCCGGAGTGAAGCGAGACATGTCTAGGCCCCTAAAAAAAAGGTGAAAAAGTCAGATGATACAATTCATTACATCCATTGAGTGAAAAGTCCAACACGCCCTATTCACAAAACACCACTTTACAGGGGCAAACAAGACAACTCGTAAGACGTTTGCATGTTTGTTTAGTTTTTTCAGGTTTGTTGTGGTTTTTTTTTTTATAAAAGCACCGACATTGCCCAAAACTTAGAATATCTTCTTTTACAAGATGGCAACGAAAACATTATCAGAAAGAAAGGAAACCAGTTCAAATTTGTCGAACCCCGCTCAGAAATCACGTGCTCAATTTGCATTATAATCTAAAAACAAACATGGCGGCCATCTTAATTTCAACAATTACGCCCTTCATGGCGCTACTCAAAACCGAGTAATCAAATTGAATGTCACACAAACCACCAAAGGAGCAAAATTCTATCGCCTAACAATACAGGACACTAACCTTAACGGAAAATCAACGAGTTTGGTAATCTTGTCTTTAAACAGGATGTTCCTAAATGAGAATCTCTTGAGATGAATAATCAGGATTTCCGGTAGACGCCATACTGACAGCTGCTTGGTAGCCTCGCGATGAGCCTTGCACTCGGGACAGTACCTACAAGTCAGAGGCAAAACCATAAATCACGAGCACAGGGAAAAGAATTCCCATACCACAGGCAAGCTCGCTTGACTTGTTCCTTACAGTCTATCTAAATGGTAGGGTCGGACTAAGTCATCATCAGATTTTGATAGGACAAAACAAAAATATGGTTGCATACCACGTGCTGTTAAACCTCATCGTCATGAAATTATTAGCTGAACAGCAAACTTTGATCAAGAACCAAGAGAGCTTACCAAGCATCATTCTCACTCAATGTCTCGGGTTCAGTGAACAGCTCTAAGCACTCTTTTAATGAACAACTGTATGACTCTAGAGATTGAACAGAAGACAGGTGAGCCACTCATGTACATCAGAGCATATTGTTATGTATACAAGAAAAAAATAACAATAAAAACGTCAATAGTCATCAAGAAACCAGGCCAATATTCACCTGTAACCGTTCCAGATTTGTAAGAGGGATGTTCTTCGCACTCCTGCAAGACAAATAAGCAAGGTTAATGGATAATAGACATTATCGAACCGGAAGGAGCAGTGACCTTATGTTTAGTGCGCTCGACTCTGGAATGAGAGGTCCGGGTTCGAGCCCTGGCCGGGGACATTAATATTGTGTCGTGTTCTTGGGCAAGACACTTTACTCTCACAGTGCCTGTCTCCACCCAGGTGTATAAACGTGTACTGGTAAATTTACTGCTGGGGGTAACCCTGTGCGTGAACTAGCATCCCATCTAGGGGGGAGTAGAAATACTCCAAGTCGCTTCATGCTACAATAACCGGCATAAGCTCCGGCCTGATGGGCTACTTGGTTCGTGTGCTGACTTAACCTTTACCTATTATCGATCCCAACATCCCGCGTTTACTCGAGAATATAGGAAAATTCAACAGTGTGACTGGAACAGCGATTGCCTGACGTGACATCGACGTCACGCGATTGGAAAGTGAAAACAGTCAGGTGCAGTTTCCATCCTCCTTCTATCATTTTTGATCATGACGATAAAGACAACTTATCTCTCACGATAACACTCACTGCACTAACAAGACCACACGCTGTCATGGGTGTTGTTGTTGTTTTTTCTTCATATCTCTCACAAAGTAGACTTGTGACTGGGACTCCGCTCGCCTTGCGCATGTTGTCTGAAATTTGCCGCGAGACCTCACGCTCCGCGCGCGTTACAACATTTTGCATCCTTGAGCAATGGCAAGAGAAGGATACATAGGATAAAAAGTCTAAAGCAGAGCTTAGCTAATAGAGAGGTCAAGCATGACGTTACGGAAAACGGCAAAAATTAAACTTTTTGCCGTCGAGTTTTTAGCCATGTGTACAATTAAGTGCGATTGTCTGTGTTTCCTGTCAATAGGAGTTTTTTTTTTTTT